GTATACAAAATTTACATACAGAAATCAGTAGCCTTTCTATATACCAATAATGAACAGACTGAAAAAGAAATCAGGGAAATGATCCCATTTGCAATAGCCTCAAAACAACAAAAGTACCCTGGAATAAATTTAATGAAAGAAACCAAAGACCTTTTTAATGAGAACTATAGACCACTGAAGAGAGAAATCAAAGAAAACATCAGAATATGGAAAGACCTTCAATGCTCTGGATTGGTAGAATCAACATTGTGAAAATGGCCATACTACCAAAAGCAATCTACATGTTCAACACAATCCCCATCAAAATTCCAATGTTTACAATCCTGGCTAACTTCACTTAACATGATGTCATACAATTGCATCCATTTACCTTCAAACCACGTCATTATTCCTTATGACTAATACTCCACTAAGTATATATGCCAAAATTTCTTGATCCATTCATCTGGGTTGTTTCCAGAGCTTGGCTATTGTGAATAGCACTGTAATGATCATCAGTGCACAGGTGTGTCTACTCTATCCTGTCTTACATTCTTTTGGGTAGATGCCCAGAATGGTATTACTGAATCATATGGCAGTTCTATGTCTGAGTCTTCTATTCTAATCAATTGATTGTCCTTCTGTTTTGTGCCAATAATGTGCGTTTTTATTGTTATGGCTCTGTAGTATAGTTTGAAGTCAGGTACTGTGATGCTCCTAGCATTGGACTTTTTGCTCACAATTGCTTTGGCTATTCAAGGTCTTTTGTATTTCCATATGTATTTCACAAGAGAAGGATACAACAACACAACAAAAAAGAAAATTACAGGCCAATTTTTCTAATGAACATAGATGCAAAAATCCTCAATAAAATAATGACAATCCGAATTCAACAGTATCTCAGAAAGATCATACACCACAACCAAGTGAGCTTCATCCCAGGGATGGAGGGGTGGTTCAACATACACAAATCATTAAATGTAATACAGCATATTAACAGAAGCAAAGAGAAAAATCACTTGATCATTTCAATAGATGCAGAAAAAGCTTTTGATAAAATCCAACATACTTTAATGATAAAAGCTCTGGATGAAACTAGAAATAGAAGGAATGTATCTCAACATAATGAAGGCATCATAAACCCATAGCAAGCATCATCCTTAGTGGGGAAAAACTAAAACCATTTCCACTAAGGTCAGGAATGAGTCAAGGGTGCCCACTCTCTCCACTACTCTTCAACATACTCTTGGAATTCCTAGCTAGAGCAATAGACAGGAAGGAAGAAAAGGAATACAAATAGGTAAGGAAGAAGTCAAATTATCCCTATTTGCAGATGACATGATTTTATACACAAAAGACCCGAAAAACTCCACCAAAAAACTCCTAGACACTATAAACAGCTTCAGCAAAGTAGCATGATGCAACATCAATTTAAAAAGTCAGTAGCTTTTCTATATATCAACAATAAACAGATTGAGAATATAGGAATACAATTCCGTTTACAATAGCCTCAAAAAAAATCAAATACCTCAGAATAAACTTAACAGAGGATATGGATGACCTCTGCAAGGAAAACTACAAACCACTGAAGAAAGAAATTGAAGACTACAGAAGATGGAAAGATCTCCCATGCTCCTGGATTGGTAGAATCAACATAGTAAAAATAGCTATACTACCAAAAGCAATCTACATGTTCAATGCAATTCCCATGAAAATCCCAATGACATTCATCACAGAGATTGAAAAATCAATCCTAAAGTTCATTTGGACACAGAAAAGACTGCCAGAGATAAGGCAATACTGAGCAAAACGAGCAACTCTGGAGGTATTACATTACCTAACTCTAAAATGTACTACAGAGCCATAGCAATAAAAACAACATGGTACTGGAACAAAAACAGATACAAAGGCCAGTGGAACAGAATAGAGGACCCGAATATGAATCCATGCAGCTATGCCCATCCAATTTTTGACAAAATCGCCAAAAACATACGATGGAGACAAGACAGGCTCTTCAACAAATGTTGCTGGGAAAACTGGATACCTGCCTGCAGAAAACTGAAACTAGATCCATGCCTGTCACCCTGTACAAGTATCAATTCTAAGTGCATTATGTACCTCAATAACAGAACTGAAGCCTTGAAGCTAGTACAGGAACGATCAGGGAATATATTGGAAGCAATAGGCATAGCCAAGGACTTCCTCAATAGAACTTAAGTGATGCAACAACTAAGAGGAAGGATCGACAAATGAGACTACATGAAATTAAACATTTATGCACAGCAAAAGAAGTGGTTTCTAAATTGAAGAAGCCATCCACACACAGAGTGGGAGCAAATCTTTGCTAGGTATACATCACACAAAGGATGAATAACCAGAATAAACGGAGCTCAAAAAACTAAACTTCCCTCCCAAATCAATGACCGAATATGGAAATGGGCAAATGAACTGAACAGAGCTTTTTCAAAGGAAGAAGCTCAAATGGCTAAAAAATCCATGAGAAAAGTGTTCACCAACCTTTGCCATAAAGGAAATGCAAATCAAAACCACACTAAGATTCCACCTACGGTCAACGGTCAAGAACACCACCAAGGTAGGGGGTGAATTCAAGTATGACATATTTGATACATTGTAAGTACCTTTGTAAATGCTACAGTGTACCCCCACCCAGAGCGACAATAAAAAAAGAAAAAAATTAATAAAACCACCAACAGCAAATGTTTGGTAAGGATGGGGGAGAAAAGAAACCCTCATACACTGCTGGTGGGAATGTAAGCTAGAACAACCACCATGGAAAACAGTGTGCAGACTCTAAAGCTGGGTCTGTCATATGATCCAGCAATCCACTCCTTGGGAAATACCTGAAGGAATGTGTGTCAGTGTACAACAAAGGCACCTGCACACCGTATCTATTGCAGCACTATTCACAATACCTAAGCTATGAAAACAGCCAAGATGACGAATGGGTTAAGAAAATGAGGTTATTTATACATAATGGAATTTTACTCAGTCCCAAAGAATGATGAAATTTTGACATTTGCAGGTAAATGAATGGAAGTGGAGAACATCATCTTAAGTGAAATTAGCCAGGCTCAGAAGACTAAAAGCCACATATTCTCCCTCGTGTGCGGATTGTAGACCTGAAACAAATGCAGCAGTGTTATGGACATGGGTCACACGAAGGGGAGGCTGCACACGGGAGAGATAGGGAAAGGAAGGGAACTAAAAACTTGAATGAAGTTGATGTGCTCACTGTACAGGAATGAATATAGAAATCTAAAACTGGCTGGGGCCATCACAGGATGGGGACTAAGGAAGAGAGAAGAAGGCTAGAAGAGATGAACCAATTCTGGTTGTAATATATATATGCATGGAAACAACATAAGGAAACTCCCTGTGTAGCTATCTTTATCTCAAAGCAGCAAAAATGACATGTTTCTCTTTTTATCTTTTGTTTTTTCTTCTAAAATATCAGAGAACAGGAGGGTGGAACAGATTCTGCTCTGGGGTGGGCACAGGTGGGAAGGGGAAAAGAGTAAGAGGATGAATACAATGCAAATAATGTGTTCACATATATGTAAATGCAAAAATGATACTTGTTTGAAGTGTTCCAGAAATGTGTGTGTGTATGTGTGTGTGTGTGTGTGTGTGGTGGGCAGAGCAGAAGAGTGGTGGAGGGGGTGAATTCAAATATGATATATTTGATATATTGTAAGAACATTTGTAAATGCTACAGAGTACCCCCTCCCAGCACAACAATAAAGGAAAAAGAGGAAAGTTTAAGAAAGCAATTATTTCATTTATAAGCATGGCTTCACATTTTTTCTTTGTCTTTTAAGAAAGTATGTGCAACATTTGTTCAATTTCCACTGTTATTGGCATTTTCAAGAACAACTACTGAAAAAAGAAAAACTGTATAATGTATACATTGACTATTTTCTTTTGCTTTACTTCATAAATGCCTCAAAACTACATTGAAAAACGTACCTACCTCATTAGCTAATCAAGATGCTGTGATGATAACTATGTAATATGTTATAAAAGAAAGACTTATGGAAAATGGAAGAAATTACCTCCTGGCTTGGCTACTGAGGGGAAAAGAAAAAGAATTGAATATAATTAAGTGTTCCTGACAAAGGTAAGTAGGCAGAGTAATTTAAGAGTTTGAAAATTTAAAAAATGTCTCATATTTAGGTGTCTCTCTAGAAATTCTTTATGGTTCATTTTTTATGGAAATTAATACAGTGAAACACTCAAGTATTTAGAAAGTGTTTCCCAGATAAACTTTCATGTAAATGTGCACATAGTCACAAGTATGTCATTCTGTAATTGTGGTATGACTGTATGCTTTGTTTGGCACATTTTCCATAGAGATGTTAATGAATATAACACTCTACCTGCAAACATTTTAAATGTTGAAGTAAAAATAGGAAATGTGAGAAAATGTATGGTCTCATTAATATTTACAGTAGTAAATCAACCTAGGTGACTATCAATAGATCAATGGATAGAGAAAATGTGGTATATATACATATTGAGTTTTACTCAGTTATGAGAATGATGTTATGTCATTTTCTGTAATATAGATAGAACTGGAGATTATCATGTTAAGTAAAGTAAACCAGACCCACAAAGACAGGTGAGGGATGTTTTCTCATTTGTGGTAGCTAGGGGAAAAACAACTAGAAAAGGAACTACTAGGGAGATGGAAGAAGAAGGAAAAGGGGGAGAGAGGAAGAGGGAAAGAAAGAGTAATAGAAGGGGCGAATATGGTCAAAGTATATTACTGCATGTGTGGAAGTGTCACAATAAAACCCTTAAATTGCACAATTTCACATATGCTACTAAAAAGTATGACCTCAGTTTTTTATCTGGACAGTGAAAAATGGAATTAAAAATCCTCTAATGTTCCTCCTTAACTCTATGTTTGCTTTCACAGAAGCCAAAGACCAGGGAGCTGTAGCTCATTTTATGTCTACCACATACTCAGGGACTGTAGTTAGAAATTCGGACTCTCTCACCGTCCAGCTATCAGCAGCTCTTTCTCTGATGCTTTCTTTCTCAACTTGGTGTAGAGGTTCATGGTGAAGAGGGTGCTGGCGCTGTTGAAGATGGAGGTCAGGGTGCTCATGAGAGAGGCCAACATGACTGACAGCATCAGGCCTCGCAGTCCTGGAGCAGAAAAAGGGTGCAAGCATTGATTAGGCTGGTTGCCATGGTTCAAGAGTACTTTGCTAAATCAGAGAGCTATTGTATGACAAATGGGTCATATACAATATGGATTAGTTAATGTAATTATCAATAACCATCAATATCGATCAAATTTTCTGGTGATTTGAAGTTAATCCAGTATAGACATTTAGTTATAAATATTAACTTAGAAGTTATCTGCTGGAAAGTAATTTTGGTAGAGAGGAAATAGTCCAGTAACCTCTTTCTTTGGAAGAGAAAGTCTTTGATCCCTGAAGACTTAGAGAACTGGAGAGGTAGAGGGCTGGTGGGTGGCACTGTTGTAAAGCCTTTGTAGGCAAAACTGAGGGTTGTGAAACATTAGGGGAGCTTTACACTTCAGTTCCTTGTGCTCATTAGTTGACCCTGAACTTGGGACAGGGTGGTGTGGATTGTGTTCCATGCTATGTATTGGGGAAATTCTATCTTCATTTTGAAAATGCTTATGTGTGCTGGTAAGGGAAGGGGCAGAGAAGTGTTAGCCAACCTTTGATGGTCACAAGTTACAAGATTACTTGGTCACTCTAGAGTTCTGCACCCTGTTCCATTTCTTTCTGGCCACCTCCTGAAATCCTAATAATTTACTTATGTTATGTTGTGGTTTATTCTCTGTATTGCAAAACTATAATGAAGTTTCAAAGTGTAGGGACATTTCTACCTCTGCTTACTTCACTGACCTTTCCTGCTTAGTGCCTGAAAAATACTATGTACTTAATAAATATGTATAAATCATGTAGATTGGAATATATTAGTTTGAAATCTCTGGCCAAAGAAAAGGAAAGCAAGGTAATTAGTTAACCTGTAATCCTCTACTTTTATGTTTGTGATTATACAACTCTTTCTTTGACAAATAGCTCATCTAAATGTTCTTGACTGAGTTTACAGCCAGTCTTAAATCTGGAGGAATAGGATCATTCTAAGAAACTACTCATTTCTGAACTGTCTAGAGTCATCATATGGCTTGCAGCCTATGTAAGATGCTCAAGAAATGTCTGATGAATAGAATTAAATTAATGGAAGCAAGAATCACCAAAGATTATTCTACAATATTTCCTCAAGTTCCATCTATCCAGGCAAGCCATCTGTGCACCCGGCCTCCAAGGCTGCCTGAACGTGAACATTTACTTACCATTTGGCATCAGTTCCAGCACCAGTGTTGGGTAGGCATAGTCACTGCAGCTAGTTTCAGAGCCACAGTGTTTCATACATTCAGAAGGGACGACACAGGCCACCTTATCTGAGAAGATACGTGAACGTGATTTCAGTGAGCAGGGCTCAACCAAAGCAGAATCCACAACCATTGGACAAAGACAAGATATAATATGGAACACACTTGTCTGGAAATTGTATATTGAACTTTGAGTTTGCTATAATGGATTGGGTCACTGCCCATAATGGAATCTCCAGAATGTCTAATACCTGTAGGTCCTCTGAGCAGTGGATATGGCCAAGTTGACACACAAGAGTAAACAAAGGGAATAGATCCAGAAAATGGCAAGAGAATCCATTTTACCAGAAGCAGTGAATCCAAGAAATAAACAATGCTACACTTAGGAAGCTAGGTCCCATGTCCAGACACATTTATCCAGTGTCATTCACCTAAGAAGTCTCACCTGTGCTGGTTAACTGAGTGACTGTCCAATGAAGGATGATTCTTTACCTCTGTGGCAGTTGTAAAGTACCTTGATGCAATTTCTGCTTAAACCACATCATAGTGAGAGATAGGAAGAAACTATTAAAACTGCCTAGAAAAATAATACATTTACATTTAAAATATTTTTGTTCCTTTCTAATTCTTGTCCACAGAAAAAATGTCTTTTTGGTTATCATTGAGATAAAAATTTATAGCCTTATTTTGCTTTTAACATAATAATCTTAGTATTTCTCTAACTCTTGACATAATGTTTAGTATCTTGTGTGCAGTTTTCCATAAAGAGAAATACAAACATTATTTGACTAGTCCTTGCCTGAAAGTTACCTCTACATTTGTTACTGTTATAAAAATACTGCAATAAGAAGTAAAGTTGCTCATGTGATGATTGATTTAGAATGTAATTGAAATAAGGTTAATTCTAGTTGAGAAAGCATGGTGAATACCATGTTATCTGATGGATTTTCCCACTAAAAATGAGTCCCCAATTAGCCAAGACAGATGGGTTATCTTTCCTTTGCTTTTTCTTTTTCTTTATTGTTGTGTTGGGTTGGATACACTGTAGCATTTACAAAGGTTCTTACAATGTATCAAATATATCATACTTGATATATCCATTGCGCCCTTCACTTTTCATAATAAGTTTTAAGGAAAAACTTCAATAGTACCAGTTAATCACATCTGACACAGAATTTAACATTTCTCAAATAACCTGATTCCAAACATTGAAAACTGATTAAGTCCTGTAGTTGTCTCAGAGGGACCAAAGAGTTAGAGTACAGATCAAAGATTTTCCTTAGTCAAAGATATCACCAATCTCAACTATGGAAGCTCACTTGGCTCACATTTGTTAAGTCTACCTCATCCTCCAGGGCCCTTCTGTCATATTCACCAGGGTACCTTAATTAAAGTCTCTCACAAGAACAGGACTCATGTGTCAGGCAGATGGGTACAAAAGAGATATGGAAGCTGTCAAATATTCCTGCCTCTGACTGTCTTTGCACAAGTGCTTACTTCCACCTGTAATTCTGCTTTTATTTCTATACCAAATGGCTCTTCTAGTCTTTCTATATCTGTAAAAGACTTAGAATTCAAGCACAAGAGGAGGACATATGGATTCATGGCTTGCCTGTGTAGAGAACACGGCTGATCATCCCAGGCATCACCATAAGGAACATGGGCAAGAGTTTCAGGTAGCCGCACATGATGCAGGCAGCCTTCACGTGAGTCATGTTCTTGCCAGACAGGCAGCGCTGCACAATGACCTGCCCGGAAAACATGAAACACTCTTGAGAAAACGGGAATGATTTCAAAGAAGGTGAGTGTCCCACTTCAGTGTTTAATATTACCTTAAGAAAAAAGGAAATAATGGTTAGCAGACAATAGTGGACTTTGAATTAAGGTTGGTATTACTCTTTTTTTGCAGACTATTTCTCCTCCGTGACTCTCAGATTTATCATCAGAGTAAGTGATGCCAGCTCTCTTTTCCCAAAATTTTTTTGGGTGCTGGAAATTGAATCCAGGTTCTCAGAGGTACTAAGCACAAATTCTACTAGTCCTGTTAGTCCTCTTTTCTCCCTTTTTATTGTAGGTGTTATTTTTATCAAATGCCATTTCAGATCTCTTTAACACTATTATACAGATTTGGTATGTTGTATTTCCATTTTCCTATGGCTCAAAAAACATCTAAATTTCTTGTGACATTTCTTCATTGACCTATTGGTTGATCAGGAGCATGTGGTTTGACATCCATGTGTAAGTGTTTCCAAAGTTCCTACTGTTACTGATTTCCACTTCTGTATCATTGTGATCAGAAAAGGTACTTGATATGGTTGAGTTTTAAAAATTTGTTAAGACTTGTTTTCTGGCTTAACATGATCTTTTGGAGAATGTTCCATATATTGTTGAGAGGAATGAATATTCCTCAACTCCTGGATGGAATTTTTCAGTAAGTGCCTTTGGTTAGGATCCTGAAGTCCCCTACTATTTGCTTTCTATATTGCGTTCTCTGATGTTGAGGCATGACTCAGTGGTAGAATGTCCAGTAAATCTCATAGGCTCTCTTCATTTTTTTTCATTCTTGTTTCTTTTGGTCCTCATGGGTTGATTTCCTATATCTCTTGTTAAGTTCGTTCTTCTTTTCTCCTGCTTGGTCTATCTGCTGTTGACCTCTACTGAACTTTTGGATTATATTATCCTATTGTTCCTCTCAATGATTACAGTCTGCTATTCTTAAACTTTTATTATCTCTTTGTTGAAGGTCTCAGTTTGTTCCTACATTGCTCCCCTTACCTCAGTGAGCATCTTTTTAAGGGTTCTTTTGAATTCTTAGTTTGGTAAATTACATATATCCATTTCATGAGAGTCAGTTCTTGGGTATTTTTCTCATTATTTCTTTTGGAATGTATTTTCCAGTTTCTTCATTTTCTTTTCTTCTTTGTGTACATTTATGTGTATTAGACAAAAGAACCACCTCTACAAGTCTTGGTAAATTGTTTTTGGGCACCAGCTGTTCCTCACCAATCAATCAAACAAGAGATTCGAGGTGAGTCCAAACTTTTTGTGTTTGTTTTAACTTCTGTCTTTGTTCTTACTGACTTCTCAGAAATTATAGGGAGAAGTCTTGCTATTGCCTTTAAGGAAGTAGGATAGAAATCAACATCTTGGGATGTATCTTGAGAGGTTGGGTGGTAGGTGTTCTTAACTTTCCTTATTTACTTGGACAGAATCAGAGAGCCAGAGTCTATCTTTCATTTATTGTAGCATACACGAAAGAGAGAGTATGAGACAGATATCTGTCCTCTTGAAAATACCAAGTATCTAGAAGCTGGGAAGCTAACTGCTGATTATTTGTGAGTGTAGAAGTCATCTTATTTGTATTTCGTGGTTTAGGAGTCTCAGGTGTGCAGAGCTCCCTCTACTCCCAGAGTCTAGTAATTTAGGATCCAGTACCTCGGGCCATCTCTATCATCTCTAGCAAAGATTGTAAAAGTTAGGCACATTCAGTGGGATCAGAACCCACTTGAAGGAAGAATATGCAGATCTGGATTTATTGCTGTAGCAATACAGGGAAGAAGCTTCAGGGTGTGCCCACTCTCCTGATATATCAAGAATAATTCTAAGAACTTCTTTCCAAGGAACCACCTTACATGGGATAACTACTGAAGAAAACCAAGGAACAAGGTGGAGAAATTGTCCTCATTTCTATCAGGTATAGAGAGGTCTTCAGCCTCTTTCTATTGAGGTATTGCAGACATAAGTCTCAGGTTCATGCCACAGAAGAAGGACCAGAGGGCACCATCCATCCATGCTATTCTTCCTAGTAAGGTCCTCTAACCATTTTCTAGGAAGAGACTGTAGGGCTGATTGTCACTGGGGTAAGTCGGGGAAGAAATAATGAGTGTCATTGTTCCTGTTCAAGCTATAATTGTTTTTTTATAATTTTTTGCATAGTCTAGCCTCCAAGGTACTGGCTTGTTAGATACCAGAACCACAGTGAGCTGTTGAAAAGGTATGTAGCCAAACTTTTCCAGTCATTGGAGTTAATGTATCTCCATTTGTCCTTAACCATTTTGATGTGAACACTCTTTCAGTTTTTCAGAGCGTAGGGCTCTTTCAGCTGGATTCTGCTCTTCAGGAGAACTGATTCACGTAAAGATGTTTACTCTCTGTATTTGTGGGAGGTGGAATAGTCAGAGGTGTCCTATTTTGTCATGTTGCTGATGTCAGTTTTCCTTTTTGTAGGTACTGGGGTTAGAACTCAGAGATTCATGTACCTGGCAGGCATTCTACTGCTAGAGCCATGCCTGTAGCCCTTTTATACTTTGATTATTTTAGAGAAAGTGTCTTGCCTTTTGCTTGTAATGGCCTGAACCATGACCTTCCTATTTTATGTTTCCTACAGTAACTGGGATGACAGGTGCATGCCACCATGATCAGCTTTTTATCCATTGAAATGGGGTCTAACAAAATTCCTGTCTGCCTGGCCTGGAACTGTGATCCTCCCAATCTCAGCTTCCCAATTAGCTAGGATTATAGGACTGAGCCACTGGTTCCTAGCCTTCACCCTTCTTTATTAAAAGTACAAAGTGCATCTTTCACAAATTTTCATAGAATTTGGTACATAATAAATAGTAATTATCAAGAAAAATTAAAATAAAAGTAATTTCTAACTTCAGGATAAAAGAAAAGCTAATGCTAAATCAACTAAGATATAGCACATGGCTCAGTGGCAAATTACTTTCATAATCACGGAAACAGTATGCATGGCAATCTCTCCCCAAATTGTGATTTATCAGGAGATAGGCCTGTGTATGAGCTTCAATATGTTTTTTCATTTTTGTTTGGATGTATTCATTGTACTGGGGATCCATTGTAACACATCCAAATAATCTTATATTGTATATTTGTTAGCTCACCCCTACTATTTCTTTCCCACTGAAAAACCCTCCATGCCTCACTTAAAGCAGGTTCAAGAGGTTTCCTCATTCTATTTCATATATGTATATGAAGTCCATGATTTTATCATGGGAAGTCAGCAGAAAAATCCTAAAACTTGAAAATCTAAATGGAGCAATATAAATATTTAAATCTCTTGGGGGAAAGTTAATTATAAAATTCCAAGTCAGTAAGAGAAATACTGAGAGTGTTTATTTCTATTTCCAACATGACATCTACACTGATATTTCATAAATCACACTTTGAGCACTTAAAGAACAGACCCAAATAACAAAACATGCAATTGAAAGAAGTGAAAGTGCTTGTCTCTGAGGAAAAAGACATAAGGCAATGAGGAGGAAAAATAATATGTTTTTTATATCAAGCCTTAAAGAAATATTTGATTTTTTAAAATGATGTGTAAGTGCACAAAATAGAAGCAAGATGCTTTTCTATGAGAAAAGAAAAAGCGACATAAATGTATTCCTACACACAAACATTTGTGCTTACCTGATCTGCACACCAATACCACAGAGCTAAAATGGTCATTCCAAGGGTCATTCCTGGCCATGGAAAGTCTCCAGTGATAGCATCTCGGAAAATGTGGAAGGAGTCTGCCTGAGGAGTGTAGCAGCTGGGGCTGATTGTCAGGTTGTCCCCCTCCACTACTGATGGGATGGCGTTCATGTACTTCTCAATAAAGCTCTCATAGCCTCCAACTTCATGAAATGCTAAAAAGGCATCAGATAAAATGAAATGTCACCTGAACATTTATAACACCTGATATTCATGACTACTCCTTTGAGGTGGAGGAATCCAAGCATCTCCTGTTAGCCCGGTCAGATCATCAGTGAACTTTTCCCATGATTCATGTCTTTTTGGTACCTCATTGGCATTGGCCACAGTAGCAAATTAATTTTCACAAAGTACATAAAGCAAATGATTCTTTAACGTTTTTCTTATGGTACCCTTTGAAATTTTGGCTTAGTGTCTGTGATCCAACACACTGAGACTGCTGTCACACAACCATCCAAAGCAGAGATTAACCTGATGGTGAGTTCACAGAACAAGCCTGATGGACTTGGTCATCAGAAAGAAACAAGAAGCAATGAACTGTTCCCTGTCTCAGAGCCCTGCTGTTCTGACCTTACTCACAATCTGCTTTTCTGGTACAACACTGTATTATTCTAATGTTAAAATAAAACTAAATATTTGTGTAGAAAAACAAGTTGGAAGCAGCAGTTTAAAAGTGATGAAGGGAGATGGTGAAACTCAGCCCATTCTGGTCTGGTTAGGATTATCAGGGTGAACACAACAACTGTAGTTGATCTTAGAAAGAGGAACAAAGGCCTCTGGGGCCATTTAGCATAGGCTCAAATGATGCAAAATTTATCACAGTGCCAGAGAATTGCAGAGATGATGTTGATATTCATTTAAATCTTCATTACTGTATTGAGCATGTACCAAGTATCAAACATTGTACTGGAACTGTCCAAGTGAATTTCCAAGGTGTGAACACAGCTTAGCAGGAGATATAGGCAACATAATGAAATCTATTCTTTTAAAAGAAGTATTTATAAAAATTGTTCTATCTAGCACCTGTGTCAGCACCTGTGTTCTATCTAGCAATAATGCCTCCTGAGTAGCGAGGATAATAGTTACTCAGGAGGCACTGATGAGGAAGTTCACTGTATGAAGCCAGTGATCCTATATTGAAAATACCTAACCCAGAAAGTGCTGGCAGAGTGACTCAAATGGTAAAGGACTTCCCTAGCAAGAATGAAGCCCTGAGTTCTAATCCCAGTACAACAAAAATAAAAAGCAAATAAATTAAGGTTAAAAATGATAATTTAAGCAATACTTTTAGGAAAAAATCTCTTCTTTCCCACTTCTACATACTTAGATCATAAAGCTCTAAAGATGCCTGGAAGACATTTCTATAAGTGTAAATATATATGTGATAGGAAAACATGACCCAAATGCATGGGAGAAGCAGCATTACAGAGCAGACAGGGTCTAGGGCACAGCGTGGGCTGTCATTACTTACCAAACCCCATGAGAATAGCAGAGCCAATCACCATGATGACAGCCTGGAGGGTGTCTGTATAAATCACTGAGGCCAAGCCCCCTGTGGGAGAAAAATGGGCCAGAACATTTTATTTAGATGTATTGATTCATCTGATCTCACCTCTGGGCTCTCCTCTATTCCAAATATTGACTTAACACAAAACATATCAATAACTCCTCCCTGAGCCCCAAGAGTGTCTCGACATCATTGTTCTTTTAGTACTTATGTATTTCATTAATTTCCTCTTTCTCTTGTCTTGCTCTGGTTCAAAATTCTGTAGAGGACTTCTGTCTTTGTGAGGTTTTGAATACTATATGGGGGAATAGGGCAAAATTTTGATATCATGAAAATTTGTCATAAAATTCACTCATTGTTCCCATTTAGTACAGTGTCCCTGTTCTCAAAAGTCTAGCAAAACTGACTTTATCTTAGTGTTGGGATCTATCACAGTTTTTTTAGTTGAATATAAGAAGTAGTCATTTACCTATGTTTTCCAGCAATATTGAAAAAAAATTCTCTTTCAATTATAGATTCATCAGATTCTTAGTCAGAAAGAAATTTCCTTTACAAGATTGTCATGAGTAAGCAAGAATGATCTTGAAAACCGAAGAGTAACATCTTTATCTGTATGTAATGTGAAATGTATGCTAAAAGTACAAAAGTAGCTTCAGAACAGTCTTAATTATTCAAGCTATTTTTCTTTATTTATTCCAACTCAGCCATTCCAGCTAACTTAAAATTAACTAATTTTCTTAAGTCAGTATGCATGAGACACTACACCAATCTGGTTACAAAAGCTTAGACTGTTGGTACATACTTGCTTTGCAAAATCAACCTAGTTTTCACTCCTCTTTTAATTGTGCTAAGAATAGCTCACCTACCATGTCCTGGCATCTTGTGTTAATTTGAGTTTCACCTTGCATTTTCTAGTCTCATATCAGACATGGTCTCTCATCCAAACACAGCTAAGGTGCATCCATAAGGTTTCCATCCCATCTACCTCATCATTTTCCTCAATTAAAGTGCTCACCTTGAATAATGAGGATTATATCATATTTATTCTGGTCCTGTGACTGGCTCTCATTGAGGGCCTGAAATGGTATCCTTTCTTTGGCAATGACAAGGCTAAGACTGAGGTTACTAATTTCAGGATCAGATAAGATACATTAGAGGATAGCATGACAGGGTATTGCAGTAGACTCACCAGTGATTGTATAAACAGCAGTGACAATCAAGAGGATGAAGATTGCCAGGTAAAGGTTCAATCCAAAGGCCAACTGGATGAATATGGCTCCAGAAAATAAGCCTGACTGAAAATAAAACAGTTAGGATAATCATGCATCAGGCCATTGGTTTCTCTGCACTAGTGTCTACTCTCCCCTCTCTTCTTCTCCAAGTAGACTTCTACTCATCTTTTAATTTAAGACTCCACTTAGATGTCTGCACAACAGTATCTTCAATAAAGCATCAAACAACATTTCATTCTCTTTTCTCTACCCACATAACTCCTAGTTCATTGTTCAGCAAAGACATTTATTAAATGAGGTGACATGTCCTGAAACCTTTTTCTGTATCACAAGACTTAGAGAGAGTCAATATTTTGTCATAGTAATTCTATTGATTTGGGTATTTTCAAAAATATAATCTTGAAATTGGCATTCTTATTTGTCAATGAAGATTTTGTGATTATGAATGTTTTTATTCTCCTATAACTATATACAGGATTGGGTCTGTTTCTTAGATGACTGGAGTAATGATTTTTTTTATTTGGAAATCTTGAGCTACCAAGGATGTATTTCTTTGTGGAATTTGTGAAAGAATTTACATCCACTCTTCTTTACTCCCTGACATTTTTTGTAAGTTAGATACTGCTGTTATCTTCATTTTGCATCTGAGGAAATGTTGAATGAGGCAGTTTGCTGTATGTCAACCAGATTGCAAGTTCTAAGCTCTTGGTGTGCATCTGTGTAGTGTGACTCAAAAGCTCACAATGTCAAACACTTTATTATGTGCTATTATGGGTTTTACTTAATTAAATTTATTAGGAACAGTGATAATATAGAAAAATCATGCTGGTAAGATGGTGGCTATGGTTGCATTGTTTTGAAACTTCACAAATCTCTACATTAAACAGAGAAGTCATATAGTCAAACAAACAAGGTAAGGCAATCCAGTGAAGTCCAAAATGCAAGACGTTTGGACAAATTAACCTCAGACTTGCATTGACAATTCTGGAAATCCATATGAACTTTTATATACCACTGTGAGAGTGTAAATACATACATATTGAAGATGTTTTGTATTATCTGTTAATATCAATCACATGGATATTATATGGTCAAGCAGGTGAACAACTTGAATACACAGAAATATTTTCTCAAGGGCACTAAGAACATAAAGAAGTTATATAATAGCATTATTTATAAGGGAAAAATAAAAACCACATCCTTATTCATCAACTTTAGGATGATTGAACAGATTTGATATAGTTATCTAATTCAATGTTCTGTAGCAATGAAAATGAGTAACTGAACCAACCACATGGATGCATCTTATGCATACAATGCTGGTTAAAATGAAGCACAAAACAGAAGATTATACACTCTTTGATTATGTTGCTATTAAATTTAAGAGGCCAAAATAAGTTCAAGTGTCAGTAATCAGAATGATAGGCATCTTTGGGGGAGAGGAAGAAAAATCTATGTAAGAACTCCTAAAAGGAGCTTGTTTACTTTGTAAATGTCACAATGTGCTTCTGTACAACAATAATTTCATAATAAACATTTAAAAGAAAGGTGCTTCTTTATTATACATGTTTCATTATGTGAACATTGATCCCACTGTTTCTTTATGTTAGAGGCACTGTAATATGATGCACATACTACATTCACAACACAAAAGGGCTCTATTCTGATAGACAGGAAAATGGATTCCATGCCAGCCTTGACAATAATTCATGATATAAATGCATAAAACTAAGTGATCAGCTATATAATGTAGGGATTGGGCCTAACCATCTTTACAGTCTCTTTATATTTATGTAGGAGTAGAATTCTAACACTGCTGAAAGGCAACTGATGGGGTGATGGTCTACCAGTTGTTTTCTGGGATCCTGGATATCTACCTTTTCCTGAGTTCCAAGTACTTGTGAACACAGAAAAAAATCACTGGAGGACAACATAACCAGATCAACATGTACAATATGACACAACCACTCAATTATTTTCAAATCATCATACTCAGTTTTAACTCTACATCTTTTCCCATATGGTTTCCAAACCTGGATTTTCTCATCCCAGGATCTTGAATATACATATGGCTGAGCTCAGGTCCAATAACTTTTCTTGCTGTAGACCATTTGGGGTGTGTGTGTAAGGTGGTTCATGCTTAAATTCCTCCTTCCCACAGTATTTCATCTGTACTCTATCACTTAGCTCTTCATTTATGAATTTCCATTAATTGTTACTATATATACATGTGCAATAAAATTTTTCCTTCTTGGAAGTCAGATATCATTCGCAGATGATCAATTTTGTACTGACCAGACTTAAGAATGCTGGGTGAGTAAATGGAAAGTGAGAATATAGTGAAGTTACATCAGTTTATGCAATTATTCTTTGATAATTGTCATTAGAGAATAATGATAAAAAGCAAGTAGGAGGTAGAAAGAACTCAGAGCAATGCAATAATTATTGTTAGGAAGAAGACACTTGAACATTTTAGTGAAAAGAGAGCTAGTAAAACATCAGGGGTAAAAGGATAATAGGGATATTTATAAAACAGGTGGCTAGAAACAGTGGGAAGAGGTAAGATCAGGACAGGTATAGGTTGAAGGTTTGACCTTTTAGAAAAAAGAAGTTACCTCATCTTCAGAGTTGGGGGAAGAATGAAAGCCCAAAGAAAATGTAGATGATTTGGATGAGGGGAATGAACATTTCATGGCCTCTAAACTGAAGAGACCACCCACAGAGTGGGAGAAAACATTTGCCAGCAATACATCAGACAATGGACTGATAACCAGAACATACAGGGAATTTAAGAAACTAAGCTCTCCTAAAATCAATGAACCAATTAAGAAATGGGCAATTGAACTAAACAGAACTTTCTCAAAATAAGATATTCAAATGGCCAAAAAACACATGAAAAAGTGCTCACCATTTCTAGCCATAAAGGAAATGCAAATCAAAACCACACTAAATTTTCTAAATGATTAAGGAGAAAAATCATTATGATAAGCATAAGGGAACCAAAGCTAAAATTATGTATGCTTTATAGTAATTACTGAGACTATCAATTAAAATAGTAAGAAATACTTATAAAAGGATTATAAATTCTAGTTTAAATCCTGGCAGTTGGAAGAGCCCATCGAAAGGATGGAAGCTCTGGAGATGTGACATACAGAGCTGTAGGTACAAGGTCATGTTCACTTTGGGGACTTGGGGTCATGTAGCTCTAAATTCCAAGACCCGCAATATGTGCATCCAGCTCACCTGGACTCTTTTTTAACAAAACATGTGCTGGTCCCATTTGGGTATGAGTCCATTAACTCAGATCCTTCCAATATCCATATGATCCCACCCCATAAAAGTAGGAACAACATATTAGTCATTGTAGTTAGAAATAATTAAGTAAATTTCCAAGAGACATAGAAGGTATAGGGATAGGATTTTTAAAATGGAAATTGGGGAATAGAAAGACATGTAGTACAAGATAGTTGATTTTTATTACTCTTAAGATTTGAAACAAGACCTGCCACTTTATCCTCCAACTATATATTCATGTTGGTGAAAAACCTGTTCTAGATTTCTATAAACAAAGTACCTAACTCAGCTTTACAAACATGAAGACTTTTCTATAATTGTCACCACTGAAATTTTCCAGAAACACAACAACTATGTAAATTGAAGACTGTACTTATAAAACTTGAATATTTACATTTGGCAAAGTGTAAGGATACAAAATCAGCATGCAAAAATTAGTAGCTTTTCTATATATGAATAATGAAAAGGCAAAAAAAATCAGGAAAACAATTCCATTCACAATTGCCTCAAAAAATAAAATACCTAGGAATAAACTAAACTAAGTATGTGAAATACCTCAGCAATGAAAGAAGTAAAAATAATGCAGAAGGAAACTGAAGACATTAGATAATGGAAAGTCCTCTCATACCTATGGGTTGGAAAAATCAACAATATAAAGTAATTTACAGTTTTTGAAAGCAATCTACAGATTCATTGCAATCCAGATCAAAATCCCAATGTCATTGTCCACAGAAGTAGAAAAATCAGTCCTAAAGTTCATATGGAAAAGTACTGAGTAGCCATAGAAATCCTTGGTAAAAAGAGCAATGCTGAAACTATCATTTTATCAGAGTTCAAATTAATTGACATGCTGAACAATGGGATAAAATAGAAGACACAGAAATAAGCCCATGTGCTACAGTAACCTGATTTTTAATAAAGGGGAAAACATACATTGGAAAAAGACAGCCTCTTCAATCAATGGTGCTGGAAAAATTGGGTACCACATACAGAAGAATGAAACTGGATCCCTACCTCTCACCCTGTACAAAAATTAATTCAAATTGGATCAAGGACTGTAATGCAAGACTAAAATTGCTAGAGGAAAACATAGGGAAACTTTTGAAGATATAGGCATAGGCCATTACTTTCTGACAAGGCCTCAAATTCCTCAGGAAAGAATTGGTAAGTAGGAATGCATCAAATTAAAAAGCTGTGCAAGAAAGGAAGCAAACACCAGAATGAAGTGACAACCCACAGAATTAGAGAAAACCATTGCAAGCTCTTGATTGGACAAAGGATTAATATCCAGAATGTGTGAAGTGCTCACATAATACACACCAAAAGAACAAATAATGCAATTAACAGATGAGGAAATGAATTGAACAGACCATACACAAAAGATGAAGTACAAATGCCTACTGCATACATGAAGAAATGTTCAACGTCTTTATCCATAAAGAAAATGAAAATGAAAATGAAACTGAGATTCCATATCATCTCAACCAGAGTGGTATTGTCAAGAAAATAAACAACAAATGCATGTGAGAAAGCAGGGAAAAAGGAACCCTGACACACTACCTCTAATGCCTTAAGTGCCATGCTGTGCCCACACAGGTCCACCAGAGAGGCCTTGCCCCATATGGCCCTCAGACACTGAAGTGAATCTCTCCCTTGCTATTAGGCATGCCATACTACATCTGCCCAGGCTCATTAGAGTGACTCCACTTCTGTGTGGCCCTCAGAAATTTACTGCTAAGACAGCCATACTTCACCTACCAGGGCTCATA